TGTCTTACTAGATTGATCTTTCTGGTCTCTTGAACCTGAGTGGTTCCTTCATATTGGATGCAAAGTGTGACCTACATGGATTTAGAGGTTTTAAGCTTCATCACGGAGTGATAAATCTCCTCAGGAAGAGACATAGCTACTATAGACCGAGCGCGCGTGTCTATAGCTATTTTCTTCTTGTCTTCATCGCTCCATTGATGAGGGAGCTTTGGAATCTTCTATTTAGGAATCGTGGCAGTCATAGCTGTTGCTGGAACAGCCGGAGCAACAGCAAATGGAATATATGGTCCATTTTCTATGTAATGTGGAATTTCAGGATCCACATCTTCAAGAAACAGGGACATCCGGTTCTTCCAGAGACAAAAATTGTCACGAACAAACCGGGGAGGTTTGGTAAGAGAGCCATGGTCTTTTGGGTGTGTGTGTGTCTTTGTAATTTGTAAAGCCATTTGTAAGCGGTAAAGTAATCTAAGGAAAGAGATAAACTAATATAGAAAACAGCTAAATAGATAGAGAGAAGAAAACACTGCTCTGATACCACTTGTTGGTCCCTAAGGGTCTACAAGATGAGTAAAACAGTTTGTAGAAGGAGGGATGAATACAAACACAATATTTTCAAATTTAAAATGTATATTGATAAAGAAGATCAATACAAATTTTACAAGATTGTTTGTGGAAAGATAAGGTAAGAAAATTTATCTAAACAATCTTTGGTTACACAAAGATTCTTAGCAAGTGAGAAAAGAAATGCTTTAAAGAGAAGATCATTTACTTAAGCTAGAAAATGCTCAAAGTAAGAATTAGGTTTAGAGAGTGAGTTGCACACACTCTGCATGGAGAAAACACTTCTATTTATACCCTATGCATTAAATGAACATTTAATGCAATATGGTAGGGTTAGAATGCGTGTAAAGCCTTAAGAGGAAGGCTTGTCCTTTGCCACAGTGAATAGTACAAAAAGCACTATTCATGGGCAGACATCCTTACCTAATGTTGGTGGACAATAGAGTCGACTAGTCGGCTCCATACCATACCGACGGATTAAGCATCGAAAAGCTTAAGTACTTGATATAGAGCTACATTCCAGACATAGAGCCTCTGGACAATACATACAGAGCCTCTGAGTCTCCTACTCCCATGGTTTGCACACAAGTTGTTCAAACTTATCTCCTAGACTCTTAACAGAATATGCCACGTACACTCAAGTCATTCCACTTTCCAAGGAACGTGAAGGCTGAGGATGCTAAACAATAAGTTAGAGTTTGAAGCCTAGAATTTAGGAGATTCTGTTTAGCTTGGACGTAGAAAAGGAGGCATCCTCCTCAAGTTAAAATTACCTAAAAGATTGCCGAATTCTACTACGCTCCTTTTATAGAGAATTCTTGTGAGAATACTATTCGATTGAGAGATCATTGTCTTACTCGAAATCTAATAAAGCATCTGACTTATTAAAGATTGTTTTTCATTCCTAGTTTCTTCTTGAGTACTTCTGTCAACGACTTTCAATTACACAGTTTTTGCTTCCAATCAATTTCTGTTTTTACTATGTTTATTGATACTTAAGAGGAATTTGGCTTCCTACAAGGTCCCAAAAAAATAACCATACAAAGTTGAGTGATATGTTTTGACCGCTTCCTTAGGCAGCTCTTCGGAATCGGAATTCGGGTTTGAGTCCTATCTTCTATCTACCTTCCCAAAATCCACTCCATTACCTTCCTTAGAACCACCCCTGGACAGTCTAGCAAACACCAAAATTCTAGGCTTCAAAGGGTTTATAGAGACATCAGTACCCTCCCTATCATTCAATACTCCTTCCACCCCTACCTGATTACACTCCATCTTAGGATGAAGCCGAAAAGCTGAAATTCACCTACCGCAACTCTATAAGGGTAACGAAGGCCTCGGAGAACGGGACGCTGAAACCCTACGTCAAACAGCCCTAGATAAACAACAAAGTTTTCATAAACACACCCCTTAATGTCAAGAAACCACAATAAGACAACATAAGATAGAACAACGATACTAACCTTTGAAGAACAACAGGGAAGAGAAAATTGAAGGCGAAAGAACCAAAAGGCGAGAAAACCAACACAACCAGATCAAACAACAAAGAGAAAGGATCAACAACAAAACAACTCACTCTCTATTAAGTAGAAACAACCAGCCAGCAACCAACAAAACCGAAAACAAAACAGTTGTCGGGTTCGTCAGGAAATTAAGAAAACGCAGCCAAAACAACAGCCACCTAAGACCAGCCCACAACCAAGACAACCACCCAGCAACAACCACTCACCAAGGCCTAACCAAAACATCCCTCGACCAGATCTGGGAAGACGATGATCACACAGGCCAAAAACAGAAAAAGCACATGGTAAAGAGCAGAACCTTACCCGCATGCGCAATTCAAAACCACGTGTAACCAAATCAAACCCAAAAATGGCCGAAGAAGAAGAAGAGAGAGTGGCTGTAGCAATAATCAAACCAAAAACAACCTCTCTCAATCAGCAGGCAACAAAAAAGGAAAGTAAATCAACCTTCCCCAACCAAACAAACGTGAGCCAATAAGGGAAACTTAGGAGAAAACCCTACCGGCTGTCTTTTAACTTGAGAATATTCAAACCAGCAAAAACCAAAACAAAACAGCCTCTCTCGGATAGCAGGAAGGACGCAAGGAGAGCAAATCGAACACCACCAAACAAACAAACGAGAAACAAGAAGGAAACTTTAGGAGAAAACCTTAACTACGATCAATTACCTTCAAAAAAGTCAAACCAATGTGTAAATAAAAGAGATCCAATGCAAGAAAGTCAATACCAATGCACATCAATACTAAGAAGAAAGAGATACAAGCAAGACAATGCATCAACACGAACCTTCTTCTCCATGGTCCAAAGTCTCTTTGGCGTTTTTCTTTTTAATTTTTATTGGGCATATTTTATACAATTATTATAAATTTCTTAATCTTTTTTATACTTTTATACATTTTTTTAATTTTTATTAGACATACTTTTAAATATTATATATGTTGTAGTAATATATTTCAAAAATTATGTAAAACAAATATATTATTAAATTAGTAATATTTTCTCGATATAAATAAATATGTATTTGTATAAATTCTCATAATATACTTATTTTTATAAATAAGAATATAAATGGTATAAAATTAAAATGATAGGGACCCTGGAAATTTTGAAAAAACTATGAAAAAGTTTGGGTGAGCTTTTTCACACAGTGGAGATATGTTTCCAATGCAAGGTTCTAATTAAAAAAATGAAGTAATTTGTTGAAGCTATTATTGTGGAGAGTTTTTATAAGAACCTTATCTTTTTTAGGTTCTTGTACAAGAACTTGGTTCTCCCCATAAAGTTTGTGATAAATGACATTTTTCAAGTTTTTTATTTTATTTTCATGATTTTATAATTATTATTGATGTTGCAAAAATCAATGGAACCCACAAAAAAGAGGTTCTTATAAAGTATCATTGTGGACTTTAAGAGAGTTTTTAATTTGATGAGTTCAAGATGAGATGGCAACAAAAAGTGCATAAAGCATGTCATTATAAAGAACCTCCATTGGTGATGCTCTTATAGCATCTCTAATAAATTCCTCAAAATTTCTCCAAAATGGAGAACCAAAAGTCCAAATCTCCAAAAAGATTTACAAAATCAAACCGACTAGTACTTTGTCTAACTTAAATTTGTAGTGCACTTATGTATTTTTATGTTAATTGTGTTAATATGTAGTAATTATGTTAATTGTGTTAATATGTAGTAACACTGATATCTTAGTATTGAGTTGAAAGTGTGCTTCGATAAGAGTAGCTAACAGGAGGTTATGTATTTTTATCTTCTTAAGAATTTCTTATCTGTGCTGAAAAAAGTGGCTGCTCTATTTGTAAATTTTAGTCAGTTAAAATTGGTGCACATCATGACTACCACATGTGTCGATCGTGTATAGATAAATACTTTCATGGAGCTTATGAATTTTAGCCATGATAGATATAGAAACAGTAGCCATGATAGTAGACTGTATGGTTCAAACTTATGGATCAATACASTAGCCATGATAGATATAGAAACAGTCACATGTATATAGATATAGAAACAGTTACATGGCTGTGTGCACAGTAAATTGTTTACACGGTTGTGTGCACAGTAAACTTATGGTTCAAACAGGCACATGTTCTGTTGAAGCATCTAATTTTATGACCCATTAACCAAGTTTCAAAGCTCTGAATCCTTTCTCTTGGCTTTCCTCATTTTGCAAACTTCTTTAAATGACTACTTGCTTACATTCATGATACCAACTTTATTATTGTAGTATCATTGCCATTTACTAAATGCTTATTTACTGTTTAGCCAAATGCTTGGTTTCTCAAATGATTTTACTATTGAAACCACATCATAGGTAACAATATGTCTGGTATGTGTTAGCGTCTCTTGTGTCCTTTCCATTGCTCTTGAGTTGATAAAAGATTGGATAGATTGCAGTGAAAGTGGGTGAATTTAGGAGCAAGGGATAAGATTGGTGAAGATGGAGTGTAAAGAAAGGTCAATTGATGTCAAGAATAGACTTCACAGAACCATTCTTCTGATCATAAATATACCTTCTGCAYTCAACATCAAAAAAGTAAAATTCTAAAAAAATCCCACTAGAAATTACTGGTCCAGGTCCATCATTGGGTTTATGTTATTGTTGTTTTGAGTAAATATGATTTGATATGATAATTCTTAATGATTTGATCATAATCGGATAAAGATGATTGATTTAATCCACATGATATTAAAATATTAAGCAAAACAATCAATGGTATAATGGAAATCTGTTTGGGTTGTATGCTCCATCAATAACAAGCTTAATTGGTGCCTTTTGTTATTTATTTAGGGGCCAATATGGATAATAGTTGGATGTTGTTACCAAGAATGACTATCGAGTATCAAAGATCCTTGGAAGAATTTCTTGGTCTTATGTTTTCTAACTAGTGTTCAAGTGGGCAAATGTTATGTCCATGCATTAAATGCGGTAATGAGGCATGGGTTACTCAGGAGGAGGCTAGAATGCATCTCATATGCGATGGATTTTTAAAAGGTTATAGAATTACACCTTCTATTTCCCAACCCTTTCGTCYTATATTGKATACAYTCGATGACATGCAAGGATTGGTGCATGATGCTTTTGGTATCTTAGATGAAAACATACTTGAAGATGAAATAGACGTAGAAGAGGAAGAACCAGATGAGCCGAATCCAGAAGCAAAAAAGTTTTATAAACTATTAGAAGATGCAGAGAAAGAACTATATCCTGGATGTGAAAAATTCTCCGTACTTTCATTTATCGTTAGACTATTTCATAGCAAGTGTATAGAGAAATGCAATGACCAAGGTTTCACCATGATGCTTGATACATTGAGGGAGGCATTCCCAAATGCTTCTATTCCCAAGTCATTGTATGAAATGAAAAAGATTATAAAGGATTTGGGTCTTAGTTATGAGAAAATTGATGCATGCCCAAATGACTGTATCTTGTACCGCAACGAAAATAGTAAGAAGATTGAATGTGATATTTGTCACACATCAAGGTATCAACAAAGCRAAAATGAATCCCAAGATAAGTCAACTACATCCCATAAGCAGAAGAAGATTGCGGCAAAAGTTTTGCGCTATTTTCCACTCAAACCAAGGTTGCAAAGGCTATATATGTCTTCCAAAACTGTTGTATCCATGAGATGGCATGAGGAGAGTCGTACTAGAGATGGTTGTTTGAGACATCCTGCAGATTCCCCATCTTGGAAAACATTTGATTTTCAATATCCTGATTTTGCCAAGGAGCCTCGAAATGTTAGACTTGGTTTAGCAACTGATGGGTTCAATCCTTTTAGGACTATGAGTGTTTCTCATAGTACATGGCMTGTGGTTTTAATGCCATATAACTTTCCACCATGGATGTGCATGAAACAACCTTATTTTATACTATCATTGCTTATACCTGGACCCTCTGCTCCTGGAAATAACATAGATGTCTATTTAGAACCTTTAGTGGAGGAGTTAAAGGAGTTATGGGATGTTGGAGTGAATACTTATGATGCATCAACCAAGAATAACTTTCAAATGCATGCCTCTTTGTTGTGGACCATAAGTGACTTTCCTGCTTATGCTAATTTATCTGGGTGGAGCACTAAAGGTCAACTAGCATGTCCTTGTTGCCATAAGCATACAAAATCACAACAACTAAAGCATGGAGGAAAATATTGTTACATGGGGCATCGTTGATTTTTGCCAAAAAGACATGTTTTTCGGAGAGACAAGAAGTCTTTTGATGGCATTGAAGAACATGGAAGGCCGCCATGCCGCTTAACAGGGTCTGATATACTTGATGAGTTAAATGGGTTCAAAATTAAATTTGGGAAACTAGACCCTCAGTCTCTGTGACTCTCGCATATGCCTCTGAAGCATACTTTGGTTGGTCACTCAAGTGTGGAGAGGCAATGGATGCCTCTTTGGGTTGTGACGAGTCCTTAGGCGATTGGACTCTTATTTTAAAACCAGCATCCTTTTGAGAGGATGTTGGAGTATGTTGTGGTTCCCGGGCAGTGCATTCGATAGAGGACGAAAGAATGTCCTCTGCGAGGTTAGCTTAGGTTGGGCTCAGCGTGTGCACGCCTTTTTCAATAGGGGATTGTCAGACCCCGTTAAAGCGGAAACACGGTATGTAACAGGTAAGCGAGTCTTGGCAACAGTTTAAGAATAACACTTTTTCAAATATTCAAAATATACAGATCATCGACTTGACAAGATTTCAAGGTTACAAAATATTTTCAAATACAACAAAAA